ATTTAGTTTTGAAACTTTTAACATTATTTACCTCATATTATCCTGTTCCCCTGTTACCAGAACTGTCCCACTTTGAAAGTTCCTGTGAAAAAATGATGTTTTCTGTCCTATTCTTGTCTATTATATAGAAACACTGTTTCTATATAAGGACCAGGACAAGAGAAGAAAGGACTTGTGGTAGATGAACATATAGCAAATAATATATCTCAGAGTAAAATTTGATTATCATTTTTTAGTTTGCTTGCTGCTGTCTCTGCACCTAGGAAAGATCTCTGCACACCCCAGGACCCAAAGAGGTTTCCCAGCACCTCCTCAGAGCTCAGGTCAGCCAGGAGAGAGTCACAATGTGAACACTAGAAAGCACACACTGTTTCAGGAATTCTGTAAACATTGGATTCCTGCTCCCAAAACCACTTGTAGATTCACTTTCTTTAAAGGCTTGTCTGGACGAGGATAAAGGTGCATTAAGAAAAAAAAAAGGTGTCAGTGAAAACTTTTAATTAACGTGTTTTCAGATTCTCAGTGTTGACAGGGTGTGTTGCATTTTAGTGCATTTGCCAGCAAACAAGTTAAAATACATTTGTGTCCCAACTATGCGTGGCAAGTTAGGACATGTTTTTAAAAGTTTCAAATTTTAACAGGAGTTAAAACATGTTCATGATTGTGCTTTTACCTTAGCAGAGTGTGAGTGTCACTGATGGGTTTTTCTGGGACTCGAGTAAGAAGCTGCCATACCGGTGGGGAGCTGTTATTGAGCTGCTTTCTCCTTTTCCTGTCAACTGTCAAATGAAAATACCATTTCATTCACCTGTATTTCAGGAACAGATAAAATGAATGTCTTAGGCAATATTGGGAAAAGAAAAAATACTGGGTATAAGTGAGTTGGGAGATTTGGTAGTAGCTGCAGGAGTCAGAAGCCATGCTTTCATAGGGTGGTAAATTGCAGCTTCAGAGTACCTGATGTAAGGTCAGGATTTCCACAGCCACATAACCCAGAGTGTGGCACCACATTCAGCTTTCATTCTAGTTGTGGCCAAATACTTTTCAGGAGCAACTTTACCTCAGCTGCTCTTGGGCCAAAAGCTATCAGCTTTTTTCCTAGCCTCCCCACAGAACGTTAGTGCAAAGTTGACATAAGCACTACATACCACACTGAATACCTGGCTAGCTTGACAGGAAGGTTTGTGTTTATGCCCAAAGTTGTGGCTGCAAGGCACAGATTTATTATTAATGATCATGAAGTCACAGCCAAGAGTCAGTAACACAGTCAGCTGCAAGGCTGATCTGCTGGGCAGCCCTGTACGAAGCATTTTATCATTCTACACCTCAGTCTTCCACCTTCCCAAAAGGTTGAGGATGAAAATACCTCAGGAAAAATGTGCTGATTGGAGTCACCTTTTGGAAGTACTGCAAAAAGACAACTTCATCTAGAGGGTGCAACTCATTATTAGAAATCTGCAGTGACAGAGCCCTTAAACCTTTGGAGGAGCAAGGGGAGGCAAATCCTGCTCCCCTGCCCCCCCCCACCCCCTGGAGAACAGCTCCCCAGCCTCGTCTCTTCTTCATTTTGGGGCTCCACAGAGCTGTCTCTCAGTTATGGTTGTCATGTTCTTGGAAATATCACTACACATGACACAGGGGGGAATATGTTTTTTTTGCTGACACAGCTATTGTGGTAAAAGCCTTAACACAAATTACAATTAAGAATATTCTATTCTGCACAAATACACTTGACAACAGTACCACTTTTTTCAGACACTAAATCTCCAACACCTTATACACAAGCAACTTTACGCTAGTGCATCCTTGCTCCTGACACAGAAATTCTATGACAACTTTTTATGTGAGAGGCACAGCAGAAAAGTGTTATTCTCATCTTCGTAACTGATTAGTCCTGTTACAAAAAACTAAGGGGGTCTTTCTGTCTGTCTGTCTTTTTTGTCTCTCTCTTTTCCCTCTCCCTGCCTCTTGGAAGGAGATTAAAAGACCAGGAACTTGGGTAAAGTACAAGTTTAAGAAAGAGGAATCTCCCCTCCAGCGTATCTCTTAGCTTGGTGTGTAAAGGTGTGGTGCGACAGGGAGCAGCCTGGTAGCTGATGGGCTCAAGAGGTCATTCGAGGGGTTAAATCTTGTATTTGCACCCTACGGTCAAGGGTTTGGGTCAGAGATAGCTGTCCAGGTTTTAATTGCACTGGGACTGTCAGAGGGACCATACATATATCCCAGATTTCCTGAGCTTGTCCAGAGGCTCTACAGAAGAACTTGTGGAACTAAGTACCTACAGTAAGATCAGTCAAGACTTAGTCTTTTTTACTTTCTCTTTTTCTTTTCAAGTTGTAAAAGATTGAAATGGTTGAAAAACATATCAAAAGCATAATGCAAAACACACCGTCTAAACTCCAAGTCACCATGTGAAATTTTCCAGTGATGCTACTCTGAAATTCAGACGTAGCTACGGTGGAAAGTAGAAATGCATATGCCCGTGCCGGTGAAATTGCATATACCCGCTCAGGATGGACAGGTGCCTTTTGATACTGACTGCGAAGTCTTGTCATGGTCTTCCACCAGGTCTTCTTAGGTGATCTGTTACATAAACCAGTCTAAAAAGATAAAAACCCAAACCACCACCAACAAAATCACGACTTCCTTAATATCCAGATTAAAAGGAGCAGCCAAAACACAACGCGTGCAGTTGAGAAGCGGGGGAGGATCCCGAAGAAGGAAGCAGTCCGGCTGGCCGTGCCCCTCGGTTGCGGTGCCGTCACGCCATAAGGTGAGCCCTCCGCAGCTCGCTCCATCCCTTCTGCCGCCGGTGCCCGCTGCCGCACACCGCTCCACCAGCCCGCCCGGGAGAGGCGGCAGCCGGCAGATCCCCGGAGAGCGGCTCCCGCCACCGCGGCCCCCGGAGCTGCCGCCGCGGCGCCCCCGGCCACGACCCCGGCCCCACCCGGCCCCGCCGAGCCCAGCCCAGCCCAGCCCCGCAGCAGCGGGGCCGGCGGCCGCAGGTGACGCCGGGGCGGGCAGAGCCGCTCCCGCCCCGCTCCGCTCCCGATCCCACCATGGAGGCCCCGCCGCCCCCCGCCGTCGCCAGGGAAACCGCCCGGCGGCGCGGCCCCGCCGAGGGAGCCCCGGGGCGCGGCGGCGGCAGCAGCCCCGGCACCCCCGCCCTGCCGTGGGCGGTCACCCCGGCAGGGCCGGCGGCCGCCCCCCGCCCCGGGGCTGCGGGTGTTGCCTGTGCGGGCACGGGTGGGCGTGGGGGGCTGCCCCGGGGGAGCGGGACGCTGCTGCGCCGTGCTCGGCGGGGCGGGCGGCGGCCGCCGAGACAAAGGGAGCGGCGGCAGTGGCTGCGGCGGGGCTGTGCGTGAAATGCGGCGGGAGGGAGGGAGAGGTTTGATCCTCCTCGTAAAAAACACCAGCCAAATGCCCCTTTTTGCCCCCCCAAGAAACGAAGTGATCCCCTCGAGCGGTTGAAAGCAACCGGCTGCCCTCGCCGGGGTTACCGAGAGGCGGCTCTCGGCGTCCGCACGAAGCCCACCGATCCCGCCAGCCCCGGCAATCCATGGGGAGCGGGAGGTGGGCGGCTGAGCCGAGCCTCCCCGCTCCGCAGCCCTTCATTATCGGAATCATTTTAACATCCTTGTTTATAAACAAGAGGCGTTCGGAGGAGATTACCCGACTATGGGAAACGATCGTTCTGACGCTCGTTTCTGCTCCTTAAAAGGGGATGGGGGTGCCGGCGAAGGGGGAGGGGGTCTAGGCCAGCCTTCCCCGCGTCGCGGCACGGAGGGAGGGAGCCGGCCGGCTCCCCGCACACGCCGCCCCCTCCCCCGAGAAAGGAAATCACTCGGGTCCGTGATATTTCGCCCACCCCAGCGCTGATAAGCGTTCCAGATCACCGTTAATTCGCATGCATTAGTTTCGGGTTACATCTTATTCGAGGGTTTAAATTTAACGTAAATACACACTCGGGGCTGAGGTTTGGGAAAGCGTGAATGTTTCCCTTATAATGTCGCTTCGCCCACTACTTGAGTGCATGGAAATGTAATCGTGAAGTGGGTCACCGCCTCAGAAAATACTTTAAAAACACAAATCAGGAATAATCAGACAGCAGAATTTAATTAGAGCCGTAGGCTAATCACAAAATATTTTATTCCAAGCCAATATCGCTATGGGGGAGGGGTCCGTTTCTGCTCCGGCAGCGGCTCCTGCTGCCGCTGCTTTAGCGTTTGCAACATCTGGCCTACAGACCTACTAATTTCGACTCGTGATCTCGTTCGGCGAAACCCGATCTACGTGGTTCAAATACCTTCCAAATTGGGGGCGATTTAACAATCGCGACCAATTAAACCCGGGGAAGAAAAGAAAAGGGGGAAAAAAAAAAAAAACAAAGGAAAAAAAAAAAAAAAAAAAGAAGCAAGCAGCAAATCCCCTCCTTCCCTCGCTCTTCCCCGCCCGGGGCTCGCACACACTATCTGTTGCTCTCTCACGGCGGCAGCAGCGGGCGGGGGCGTGCGGCGGGGCCGGGACGCTCTCACTCACACTCGCACTCGCACTCACCCGCACGCCCCTCGCACCATTGTCCCTGCCCGCCCGCCCCGCTCTCTCTCTCTCTCGCTCTCCCTCGCTCTCTCGCTCGGGGTGTTTTGTTGGCGGCCCGGCGCGGGGCCCGGCGCGCCCGCCCGCGCCGCGGCGGAGCGGAGCGGCACATTCATTATCGGCCGGGGGCCGATTTCAAACCGCTGCCATCGCGGCTCCATTGTTCGCCGGGCGGGCGGGCCCCGCCCCCCTTTGTGCGCGGCGGCCGCGATTGGCCGGCGCCGGGCGGAGCGCTGCCGTCACCGCTCGGGAAGCCCATTCATCTGTGCACTTGGGCGTTGGACTCCGCATCTTATTAGCAACCAGGGAGATTTCTCCATTTTCTCCTTGTCTACAGTACGGCTACAAATCTGGGATTTTTTATTACTTCTTTTTTACTAAACTTGGGCTCCTTTTTTTTTTTTTTTTGCTCGACTTTTTCCTCCCTTTTTTTCCCCTCCCTCCTGTGCTGCTGCTTTTTGATCTCTTCAACTTTAAATTTTTTAAAAGGAGTGCATTATAATCGGTTCTGTTCTCTCTTCTCTTTTTTTTTCCCCTCTGGTGTGTGTGTGTGTTGCTGCTGCTGCTGGTCGCCCAGTATTTATACCAACCCAACGCTCTTTGTTTCCCCTCCTTTTGGATCTGTTGAGTTTCTTTGTTGAATAAGACAGCATGGGTGCCCAGTTCTCCAAGACCGCTGCAAAGGGCGAAGCCTCCGCCGAGAAACCTGGGGAAGCAGTGGCTGCATCTCCATCCAAGGCGAATGGACAGGTAAAAAACGAAAAGAAATTTTTAAAAATATTAAATCTACTCCTTTTTTTAAGCCAACTTCGACGGACTCTCTTTCGCATCCTGTTTAATTCTTCTTCCTTTGATGCCCCACTGGCACATTCAATGGAGAATACGGTCGATCCTTTTATCTTTGCAACTCGAGGCAAAGGAATAATTTCTTTATTTTGGTTAAACGGGCTCGGCTTTGAATGATTCCTTCCTTTATCTTTCCTGCGTGGGGGGCGGGGGGGGGGGGAAGGGGCACGGTTCTTTCTTTCTTTCTTTTTTTTAAATCCCTCGTGTATTATGGTGGAGCGTCCCAATAGCTCGTAAACGGAAGGATCTTACAAAGCTTGGCTTTTCTGCCCGCTTAACCTCCTCCCGAAGACACTCGGTGCCTCGCGCGGAACGCCTCTCGTGGCACAGCCGGACGGCCGCGTAGTAGCGGGGCCCGGAGCCCCCGGGCAGGAGGCTCCGCGGGCAGCCCCCTCGGCGGGAGCGCGGGCCGGGGGCTGCGCCGCCCGCCCCGTCCACGGCAGCCCCGCCGGGGGCACGGCAGCCGCGGGGCACGGCTTTCTGTCACCCACCCGCGCCCCCTCCCCACGCGTGAGCCGGGCTGGCAGCGGCGTTGCGGGCAGCCACCCCCCGCCGCCCCCGCAGCTGCCGCCCCGGGCAGCCAGCCGCGCTCCAGGCGCCCGAAAGATGCAAATGCGGCGTGAGTGGGGAGGGGAGGGGGAGGCGGGGGGCGCCTCGCCGCACCGCCCGGGCGCAGAGGGGCCGCGGCGGGCGGGGGGCCGGGGCCGGGCCGGGCGAGCTTTGTTCGCCTTCCCCGCCCCGCGCCGCCGCCGCGGCTTGGACGGGGCGCGCCGAGGGCGGGGGAGCGCGGCGCGGCCGCGGCCGCCGCTGCGTGGAGCCGGGGCGCCCTCTGGCGGCCGCCGCGCGCTCCGCCCGCCGCTGGGGGCGCCCGGCCCGGCGAGAGCGCGGGGCTTCGAACCGCGGGAAGCGGCGCGGCCGGCGGGCGGGCTGGGAGGGCGGCGGCGGCGCCCCGCGACCCCCCCGGGCACCGCCGGTAACGCTGGTCCTTGTCTTGCAGGAGAACGGCCACCTGAAGGTGAACGGCGACGCCTCCCCCGCGGCGGCGGAGGCGGGCAAGGAGGAGGTGCAGGCGAACGGCAGCGCGCCCGCCGAGGAGACGGGCAAAGAGGAGGCGGCTTCGTCGGAGCCCGCCTCCGAGAAGGAGGCGGGAGAGGCGGAGAGCACCGAGCCGGCCTCCCCGGCGGAGGGCGAGTCCTCCCCCAAGACTGAGGAGGGCGCGACCCCCTCGTCCAGCAGCGAGACCCCGAAAAAAAAAAAGAAGCGCTTTTCCTTCAAGAAGTCCTTTAAGCTCAGCGGCTTCTCCTTCAAGAAGAACAAGAAGGAGGCCGGCGAGGGGGCCGAGGGCGAGGGCGGCGCCGCCGCCGCGGCGGCGGAGGGCGGGAAGGAGGAGGCGGCGGCCCCCGAGGCGGCGGGCAGCGAGGAGGGCAAGGCGGCCGCCGAGGAGGCGTGCGCGGCCGGCAGCGCCGAGGCGGCGAAGGAGGACGCGGGGGACTCGCAGGAGGCCAAATCGGACGAGGCCGCCCCCGAGAAGGCGGCGGGAGAAGAGGCCCCGGCATCGGCGGCGGCCGAGGAGCAGCAGCCGCCTCAGCAGGCAGCGGAGGGGAAGGCGGAGGAGGCGGCGGGCGCCGGCGCCGCCACGAATGAGGCGGGCAGCGGCGAGCAGGAGGCGGCCCCCGCGGAGGAGCCGGCGCGGCAGGAGCCCCCCGCCGAGAGCAGTCCGGAGGGACCCGCCGCCGAGTCGGCGGAGTAGTCAGCGCAGCCGCCGCCCCTCGCCGACGGACTTTTCTTCCCCCCTGTTTGTTTTTGGAGTGGTGCCAGGTACTGGTCTCGGAGAACTTGTCTACAACCAGGGATTGATTTAAAAGATGTCTCGTTTCTTTTTTTTCTCTCCCCCCGCAGCTCCCATCTCAAATCGTTATATGTTGCCGCCATTCCAACGGGCGGAGGGGGGCTCCCCTCCGCCTTCCTCTCCCATCCTTTATATTTTGGTTTTTTTGGGTTTTTTTTTTCATCAGTATTAATGTTTTGTTTTGGTTGGTTCGGTTTTTTTTTTTCCGTTGGTTTTTTTGCTTTTTTAAAATTTTGTTCGTTTATTTTTTAATTTCATACTTTGCAACTCTCTTCATATTATAAAACTTTTGCCGATCGGTCTATGGACATGCCCATATATGAAGGAGATGGGTGGGTTCAATAAGGGATATCAAATGAAGTGACAGGGGCCGCAGTGGGGAACCCGGGGCGCGCAGCCCTTGCCGGGAGCGCGCCCCGCCAGAAATGATGTAAGGGGTTAGTCTTTTTTTTAAAAGAAAGTTATTACGATGTATTTTGTGAGGCAGATGTTCTATAAGGTTTACAACACTACAAGTCTTGATTAAGAAGGAAAGGAAAAAGGAAAAAAAAATAAAAAATAAAAATCAATACCCAGATAAAGAGATCATAGTCTTAGAAATTCATTTAAACCATAGGAACTTTTCACTTATCTCATGTTAGCTGTATCAGTCAGTGATTAAGTAGAAATACAAGTTGTATAGGCTTTATTGTTTATTGCTGGTTTATGACCTTAATAAAGTGTAATTATGTATTACCAGCAGGGTGTTTTTAACTGTGACTATTGTATAAAAAAAACAAATCTTGATATCCAGAAGCACATGAAGTTTGCAACTCTTTCCACCCTGCCCATTTTTGTAAAACTGCAGTCATCTTGGACCTTTTAAACACAAATTTTAAACTCAACCAAGCTGTGATAAGTGGAATGGTTACTGTTTATACTGTGGTATGTTTTTGATTACAGCAGACAATGCTTTCTTTTCCAGTTGTCTTTGAAAATAAAGGAAAACTCTTCAGATGCAATGTTTTTTTTTTTTTTTTGTGTAGCATCTTGTCTATCATGTTTTTGTAAATACTGGAGAAGCTTTGACCAATTTGACTTAGAGATGGAATGTAACTTTGCTTACAAAAATTGCTATTAAACTCCTGCTTAAGGTGTTCTAATTTTCTGTGAGCACACTAAAAGCGAAAAATAAATGTGAATAAAATGTATAATTTGGTTGTCTTTCTTTTATGGATACTCTGGTAGCTTAAAGGGTCTAGTCAGTATTGCCTAAATTTGTACAGAGACAGTCATGTGTGCTGTTAGCACTAGCTTTGAAAAGTACCTTCCTGGATCTTGGACTCTGTAATACTGTGCATTTTACAGAGAAAGTGTGCAGTGCACCAGGTAATTTGTAGGCTTTTCTGGCTTTGAAAAGAAGACTGGAAGGCAGTCTGAGCATGTAGTGTATGATTCTCCTGTCCAGGCTCCATCTTGGTTTTAAGACCAGATGTATCCAGTGTATGAGGATCTTGCCTCTTGAGGAAAATAAGATTTCATTTGAATTGCTTAGGGTGGGGCACCGAAATTTTTATGCTGAGTTGCTTAAAAATTAAGCTCTTGAACAGATGTCCCACTTTGGTCTTGGTATGCTGGTCCTGATTTGGTACCTCGATGATTGTCTTGAAAACTTTAGCCTGGAAGGAGAAGGGGGAAACTAACACTGCCATTCTACTTAAAGTAATTAAAAGCAATATTTTCTTTTTTTCCTCAAGTGCTACTCCCAAGTACAGGTGAGTTTCAAAACAGATTTCAAAGTTTGTCAATTTAAAAACAAAAATTACTTGGTGCTTGCCTTTAATTGTTAAACTTTTTGGCTAATTTCCAGCATATTGCTCAGGGCAATTATGCCTTAATAAAACAGTTCATGTAAGAAAAGCAGCAGTGGTGTTTGGAGGGTGGAAATTGATTCAAGAAAGTGTTGCTTCTAAGTTTATAGGAGAAAGTTTAGTGTTACACTTATTTGCTTCCACCATTTTCAGCAGAAACTCTTTGGAAGCAATTATGATTCATTTTATGAGAAAATGGCACGTTAGCACCTTGTTCCCTAAAGAACAAAGCCTAAACTGAATGAAGTATAGTAGATTTCCTGCTGAATGCATACTTCTTTTTGTTTTGTTTGGGTTTTTTTGGTTTGTTTTTTTTTTTTTTTAATTCAGCTGTCTACCATTTTAACTTTGGCTTGTATGTACTCTAGTTGCCCTGGTATTTCTCTATAACTTTAGAAATGTATTGAAACTATGCTATAATTGCTGAGGGACAAAAATAAATGGATGTAAAACAAGATCCTCCACACCAGTGTCATTCTTGGAGTACATGTCTTTGAAGTCTAGTACATAACTGCTTTGCTAAGGGGTTTTTATAACATGGCTGTAAAAACCTGTTCTGAGACGCATAATGTCTTGGCCATAGAGTCAATGTCTCTTTTTAATAAATATATATATTTGAATCCAAGGATTCTTAAAGAGCAAGTCTGAATTTCTTCTTTTTTTTCTTTTTTATTTTTTCTTTTTTTGTCAAAATGTGTATGTACATATGAAGAAAATGAATGCTAGTAAAGTTCTTTTTCAGATTTTTCTTAACCTCTCAAGCTTTCATGTTTTTTTCCTCACTCAGCTGGTGGTTTCTGAAGCACTTCCTATTCCTGGGAGTGCAGAATTGCTCTTGCCCCTGGCAGATGGACTTTTGGCTTGGGGCTTTGTCATTCTGTGGCTGGATTTGAAATATATTTCCAAGTCCTAACACTGGTAGAGTTTCAAAAGTGCATCTTAAGAACACCAGCTGCATGGTCTGCTCTTCCTGTCCCAGCAGTTGGGTGAGATTTGATGATGCCAGTTTTTCACTGTGTGGTTTAAGAAGAGAGAAGTCAAGAAATGGCTTGGAATCATGGAAATGGAGGAGTTCTGAACTGCTACCTCCTGCCAGAGAATGTGCAGGAACATCTCTCCTCCCTGGGTCCCCAAGGGACTGAGTAGTCATTTCTGTGGAATTGTGGAATATCTTTTCTTATGTACAAGGAAAATGAAGGGGCTGGGTGTTAGTGATTGGTCAGGTGGTTCATCTTCTTACTGAGAAAGCTTTATACTTTTTTTTTTATTGCTTTGGTTGCCTTAATGAAAATGCTAATTATAATAAGTATTGTAATTTCAACAAATTCTTTTAGAGTTTATGTGAATTTAAAATGTGTGATTTCAAACCAATTTTCCTATGTCATGGTTCTTTTTAAGCAGAATATTATTATTGCTATGAGCATGGTCATTTCTGTAGTGCTGAAACAATGTCATATTTTTAGGTAAAACACTGGAATCTAATTTTGCCTGACTAGGGGCTCTAGAGATTTACTTCTTTTGTTTATTTACTTACACTGAGACAACAGTTTTCCTTGTTCAAGAACTTAACCTGGTGGTACAAAAGTGCTTTAGATCTCGTGCCTATCTTGGTAAAATCTAAAGTACATTTCAGACTTTCCAAATCAGGGTGTCTTACCTCAAGTACTTGAGTTTTGTATCTGGTCCTGATACTTATTAATGTGGAACTGTAGAGACTTTGCCTTCAGGCAAGGAAGCAAGGCAGGAAAAGGAAAAGGTGAGATGGGTGAGGGAAGTGGAATCCAGGCTTTGTCTTCTGCTGCCTTGCTTGTGTCCATAATCCTTGGATACACATCAAGTCTTGTATTGACTTCTGCCATATCTAAAAACTCCTGTTGGTTGTATTAGGTACAAGTGTTGCATGTGTATTTTACTCCTTTATTATGATGTTGTCTGTGTTTGAAGAATGCTTTTGTTCTACAGTGCTGTTTGAAACATCTAACTCTTGAACTTCACTTGCAGATGATCAGATAAAGGTTGAAGGTTTTCATCTGTTTTGATTGAGTTTTTCTAAGTTACAAGTCCTTTAAAAAATCTAGAATAGTACACATTCTACCCTGAAGCTGTAATGCTGGTTAATAGTTTCCTGCAAAATTAGTCCTGTGAATTTAGTCTTTATGCTATTTTGTATAGTGAAAGACTAGTAAAAGGTCATCACTGGCGGTATTGGATTGGTTTCAGTGTTTGTTTTGAGAGATTGAGGTGAAATGTGTTTTTCATGATGATGTAGCTTAGTTGAAAGCATCCTGATTCTAGCTTAGGATATTTTTTTATTTTTTTTTACCATACTCAGACCACTGAGATAGAATAAAGCAGGTCCTTTTTTTCCTGAAGTAAGAAGCATGTGAGAATGGTATATTGTTTATAACATGGTGTAGACAGTGGGATTAATTTGTTCTCCTTACAAAGCTGAGATCCTGGGATAGCTGTCAGTGATGGGAGCTATTGGCATTGCCATGAGTCCAGCAGGGCAGAGGCAAGCAGGCTCCTGTCACTCCAGTGAGGGAGTGTAAGAGGTAGTGCTATCAAGAAGTGCAAGGTTTCTGAAAGCCTGTGTACTGGATTGCCCTGGGGAGAGCCAGGGTGGTGGTGAGATGTAAGGCCTGATGCTTGTTTGAGGATTGAGAAAGGGAAGATGTAGCTTGCTGTGTTTACTGGAACAACTGTTGGGATTGCTCTGAAGTGGAAACATTGCCTTTTGGGAAGATCAGAGGAGGGTTAGCAATGGGATCCAAGTGGCAATTATGCCTAAACAGAAGGGTGACCAAAATATTGCCCTGTGAATGAAGTACAGAGTTAGAAATATGTAAATTTGGGCTGTATTGTTGAGTATACTTTTCATACAAAAGCAAGAGGTATTCTTTATACAGAAGAATTCAGATTCAGAATGCCCCGTTTTTAGGATATCTGTAATGTTACCTGGTGGAGGTGACATAAAGGTTAAGTACATGTTTTTAGAATGTTTTGAAGTCTTGAGGATGCTTACAAGTATTATTTACACGTCTTTGCTCTCAGTCTTTGCTGCAGGAAGGTATGTTTATCCAAAACAGGACTATCAAGGTACTAGGTGAAACAAAACATTAATAATTGCAATTAGAAAGACACAAACAAGATATATGGAATGTTAGTTCTAAGACACGATGAATTTAGATAAAATATCAAAGGCCTTATTAAGTTAAAAGGAGGGGGAAGGGTTTTGTGGTTTTGTTTTGGTTTGTTTGTTTGTTTCACCTAACACAATTTTGATTTTAGAACTGCAAGTACAGGGAAATCTTAGTGGTGATGTATGCATTTTTATCACCAAGAGGCAAATATTCCAGGAGTTAGGATTCTTGGGATAGTTCCTGTGACCATAGATGTGATAACCTGCACTAGAAGAGTGCTGGAGAGGGAATGTTTTGAGTCAAGCAATGCCACCTTCTGGGGTATTTTCCAACACCACTGCTGATACTGTGGGTAATAAGATATTTAATAGTTGCTCTTTGCAGAGACCATAGTGACTAGAGATTTATTTTTAGATACAGTACAAACTAGACTCTTTCTCCAGAAGGTCACACCTTAGTTTCCAAAACAAGAGAAAAATACCTATGGATCTGTTGGTTAGGTAAGTTGTTCTTGCTGAGTAGCTCTAACAGCTGCAAAAAATTCCTTTCTAGCCTATACTAGAGTAGTTATTTCTCTGAAGTTTGGTATGGAGAACCACCTGAGTATTTAAAATTACTTTGATGATACAATAAGCCATGCATACAAGGCTCACCTGCTGTTCAAAGGAAGCAAAACCCATTCAATCTCACTGGAAGAGAACCATTTTGAACCAGTTAAGACCTGTATAGGGCCTTTAAAAGAGGACCAAGAGAAAAAAAGAAACCAATCCCCAAGCTTTAGGAACTAAAGGAAGAAACTGCTTTTTCTAGGCCCCTGAAGCAAGACTGTCATAGGCTCAAAGTACCCCTGATCTGTCTTTAAATAATATAATTTACTATGAGAGACACTGTTTCCTCTGAAGTGCAGATCCATGTTCCTTTCAGACATCACCAGTGAAACCAAAACTGATTGGTGAAGGTAACATTTTTCAGGAGTGAATCATTAGACCACTCACAAGTCCCACGTTGCAGTTTAGGAGTCTGTTAAAGCAAACTTAGCAGATACAGCTCAGAGGACTTACCTCCTCTGAGGACACTGGGCAGCAAATATATCTCACCTTGGTAATTAAATAAAATGACAGAAATCATGGACTGATACTCAGAACACAGGAAAGAACTTGAGTTCTTTTGAGTTGTTTTTTTTTTTTTATTTTTCCCCCA